CAGGGTAAGGGGTGTGGAAGGAGTCTAGGGGAGCATTCGCCGCTTGGGCGGCATTAGGGTTATGGCGTCTGGGTGGTCTCCGAGGCCTGTACCTGTCCGTGGGTCTGGTGTCTCGTCCACCTAATTTTGGAGCCTATCCCGTAGGAGAGTGGAAGGAAGACTGAAGTCACCTGGCGGGTCGTGGTCCCACTGCGGCTGTCGGCTCTGGGCAACCTGTCCCGTTGTCTCTATCCGGTCTGAGTTGCTCTGTTCAGTCAGTCTCTCGAGTTTTCCCTTCGTGGCTCAATCTATTGTGGTTTCATGCGTGTGCGTCCTCGCCTAGGACGTTTGTGGCATCTGTGTAACATCAGTAACATGCAACATTGCATGTCATAAAGCATTAAACTTATATCAACATAAACAGTTCAACTTGTCGGTCCCAGTAGGCATTTCAGCTTGCCTGTTATAATGGTTTCCCTCCCTATGCGTGTATGCTGTGCTCGATGAGGAGATGATGTTATAGGCTTAGGTCTAAGTTGTTGCACCTCTCCCGTCACCCGTGTTCCTCGCCCCCCCCCCGTCTGCTCCTGAGTAGGTCATCACAGGCACATGAGGGGAGTGCGATTGCCTAAGTCAGTCTGCCCCCCCCCCCGCAGCCCACATCACATTTATGGAAGCAGTGTTTGTTTGACAATTAGGTCTACTCTCCCCCTCCCCCCACCATCTCCTAGCGGATGTCCCCCGAGTTAGGTTTTTCCCCCTTCTATGTGTCGTGCTTGTTGCTTAGTCCCTTAGGCCATGTGGCCTTCTTGGTTGTGTACTTGCGTTTTTGTTAAGGTTGTGATAGTCCTTGGTGTTCGGGTATGACCATGTTTGGCTCGACTTTAAGGGGGCCTCTCGGCTGGCGTCTGCTCTGTCTCTGCTAGTTCAGTGTCAGCAGTTCTGTGGCGATGAGGGGGTCTGGGAGATAAGTCAACGCGGTCCATGCCGGTTGTTGACCCAGGTGTCCCGGTCGTGTTGAGTGCGTGGGGGCCGGAGCAGGAGTCCCGCAGTGAATGTGCCCATGCTGTGCCAGGAGTCCCCCTTGTAGTGTGCAGTTATCCGGGTTGGTTGGGTGTATGTCTCTCACGGTGGGGATAGTGTCCTGGATTCAAACGCTGCGTGCATAGGTCAGGTACCTTTATTGGCTATGCTCGTTCAATGGCCCCGGGGGCCCGCTGCCTGCTGGCGGGTGGTTCTCGGGATGTGGTTCCGGCAGTCTGGGTCCCCTGGTCCCGGGCGGCTGTGTAGAGCGTCAGGGGGTCCGGCCATTGTAAGTGTGCTGGCGCGATCTGTAGTTCTCTTGCGAGAGTCTCCCTGTCTGCTCTCTCTCTGATTTCAAAAGGGCCTTTAGGTGTGTGAACTTGGAGTCCGTTCGGAAAGCGCCAGCGGTATCGTATCTTATTCGCTTGTAGTTGCCTGGTGAAGGGGCGTAGGGCCCGTCGGTATGCCTGATAGATCAGGATATAATTGTATCCTCTAGGAGCACTCTGCCCGCTTCCCTTGCCTCTCTGCGAATTTCTTCTTTTAGTTGGAAACTTGTTATGCAGCATATAATGTCTCTGGGTATGCTGCCGGCCAGGCCCTTCGGTCTAAGTGCCCTGTGTGCTCTGGCTATATCAACCGGGTTCTGTGTGGGGTGTCCTAGGAGGTTGTTGAATATGCCTGTTAGGGTAGTCTGCACAGGGGATATGTCATCTTTCTCCTCCGACACCCCGTGGATCCTAATGTTATGTCTTCTGCCTCGGTTGTCGAGGTCTTCAAGATGGTATGCCATTTGCTGGAGCTGTTGCGATCTGAGCTGCAGGGTGTCCTTGTTTGCAGACTGCGCCAACGCCATGTGGTCGCATTCCGCTTCAAGTTGGGACACCCTCTGGCGTAGGACGCAAACTTCTTCCCGCATGGCTTGGAGCTCTGTGGTGA